GTAGTCTTTTTTTTTTTTTTTTTTTTTTTTTTTTTTTTTTTTTTGGTAACAGCTATTATAGCTCTGGGTACCCTTGTGTACAAGTCCAGTGAATGTAGCATAATTAACCTTTAAACTCATGTTTGTGAACAAAACCTGATAGGTGTAATTAAAAAAATTCTGGCCTCTGATCTCACATGAGTTAAGGCAAAACCTTGCAAATGGGTGTGGTTCCACTGACTTCCAAGGGTACTGAAATTTTCACTTGTATGCAAGTGTGGATAATTAAATTTTCTGGGCTCTGTGAGAAATTGGAAAGCTATTGTTGAGGATTCCTATTTTATAAGTCATTTTGCTTGCTTCTTTGTTTTTTAAGTGCAAGAGACTTATAAGGTGTCGTCCTAGATTTTTTTTTTTTAATCAACAAGGATAGTTTTCACCAGTTTATCTCAGAATGTACTTTAGAAAACTGTCAGAAGTAGATGAGTAATCAAGGACTGTAACAAACAGAGCTAACGACTGCTAACGACTGCCAAAGACCCTATGGAGCCCCTCAGAGACCCAACCCCATGAGTAATGACTATGTAGACATACCTGGTTCTGGGAAATTTAATGAATATGTATGTAACAGAGTGAGATTAGCTTTGGCTGAGCCAACCTACATGTTAGGTGGACCAATTCTCTCATGTCCTGGCTAAATAATGTCTGATTATTAGTGAGAAAACCCAGCGTTAAGGAGTTTCATTCCTGATTTTGGTGACATCATGAACCCAAACACAGTTTTCTTGTAAAAGATGATTGAATTGTTGCTAGTCTCAAGTCATTCACCAGTCTGAGGTTTTCTATCCCTACCTCCTTTGGTTTCTAGAACTGTCTGCAGTCTGTAAATCCCCTGTGATGCATGGTACGCATATATTGCTGACATTTGTCTCCAAATTAACCAGGAATGGGACCAGGATGGAGCTGGTGGGAGCTAGATTGTATCTAATTCCTCACATCCCCTTCCTCACCTCTGCAGTGCACTTTCCATCTCTACTGCCAATATCTACAGTTCTGATTTGCCTCCATGTTTTCCACCTTAGCAGGTGAACTGTGTCTTTGTACTTCAAGAGATTCATTAGAAATACATTACTCAGTTTAAACATATTGCTAAGATTAAATTCACTCTGAGAACATCAGCTAAAAGATTTTCAGAAATAAGGCCATGACTGGCTGGCTGTATATGCCACGTCAACAGCAAACGTTGAACTGTCTGAATTTTGGGAACAACAGCGAGCTTTGGAATTTTAAGCTGAACTCTTGTCTTCTTGTGATCAGAATTCATCTGATCTGTTCATACATTTTTCTTATTCAACAAGAAAAATTATTCTCAAGAGGAGAAGAAGGGTGCTGAAGTGTGCAAAAACATGTGAAGAAACACAAACCGTAGGTTTGGTTTATAGTTCTAAAAGAGACAATCAGATGGGAGATAAGGAAAAAAAAATAATAAAAGAAGAGAAAGGTTATCCAGGTTATCCAGAGGTCTCTATGTCACAACATAAAGTCATGGTGACATTCAGAGTAATAAGAAATGACAAAAGGAAACACTTTTTAAAAGCAGTGTGTACCTAAATGATCGCATTTAGGTCCTTAGAAGATATTTTAGATGAAGATTGCAGTACATTCAAGCAGGGATTGGAAAATTAACTGTATGACATAAAAACTCAGAAATGTAAAAGGATAATATATTTCTCTCAGAGTGATTTTAAACCATCCATTTCAAAGTTTAATTCAAATTTCAGTTATTAGCCAGCTGAAAGGAGCTGACACCTGCCTTTTATCACTAAAAACCACTAATGCATCAGCCGTCATGGCAATTCTTAAGCAAGGATATACATTTTAGAGCACGGTTACTAGAGAACAGGGTAGAAAAGATACTTGAAATTTAGTGACACATCAGAGATTTCGTTTACAAACACTGACAAATTTTCATGTAAGACTTTTTACCGTACAAAAAGTAAAACACCAGATAGATGTCAAGTGCCTGTTCAGGCCGGTTCTGCTGGTCAGCTGCACACAGAGAATGCCCCTACTCTGAAGTTAAATGTGACATGATTGACCCAATGGTTTTACACACAGAAATTAAGCAGAGGTGCAGTTATAGACATCTGCATCTGAAATAACTTGTTACTCCTTTTTAAAAGAAGGCATAACAACTAATGAATATTTTTAAGTGGGGATCAAATCTTATTACTTTCCTTAGTAAAGGTATTGTATCAGGTCTTCACAGAACCTCCACATTTTTCTTTACAGATATCCAGACAGACAGCTCTTCCTCCATTCCACCCCATCCTATGCAAATGCCCATCTCATTGCTCCTTTCATTCCAGCTATGCTGATGTGATTGCTTTCATCAGCAATTTTTCCGGCCCTATTCAAACGGCCTTTCACCTCTTCAGCTGAGCAATGGGGGAATTGGCAAAGGGAGGAGTAAAACAGCCCTTTCTTGGCAGTTAGCTCTTTCACACATAATTGAGCTAGGATCTGAAGAAAAAAAAAAAAAAAATCGTGCTGTGTGGTGGCATTGATACAGACAAATTTATCAGTATCATAAAAAATTTCTCATAATGCCAGAATGCACTGTTCATGCCCTGCATAAACTCTGCTAATTATGAAGATAATCTCCAGCATGTATATTACTGTTATCACCACAGCAGCCTGATAGCTTTATACTGTGACATGTTATGGGAGTTACTGTACAAAATACATGCAGTTGAGTGTAGAATTTGTCATATCTGAAGCCAGGCCCTGTCATAATACTTCTTTTGAAGCACAAAATCCAACACAGCTCAAATTTTTTGCTCAGTACAAGCACAAAATTAAGTTATTTCAGCACAGCCACCCTGTTGGCTATTAATTGTGCCCATGGCATTCTGGTTAGGGGCAAAACCAGTTGGTCAGACACCACACTAATCCAAAAATGCCTGAAGAGAGCTAAGATAACAGGCTTCACTGCTTTAACTATCGTAACCAGCCTTCCAGCTCTCACATGAAACGAGCTTCTAGGCATCACCCCATTGTTCTCAAACTATTTCTGAGGCTAATTCCGAAGTTGGCATGTAATGACCTTGACTTTGGAAATCTCCTTGTTACCTTTTCCACTACTACGTCCTGGTTTGGAGAAAACAAACCACATGATGTAGTTCAATCTGTCTGCTTTCCTACATTCAGGCCTTTGAAAGTCTTCGTATATAATTAAGAGCAACTTTTAGAGTGCTCTTCGAATTAGGAATTAGCATCAATGCTATTTATGAAAATCCTTGCAGGTATCTCCTTACGGTGTTCACATTGACTGAACTGGAATACGCTGCACACCCACTAAGCTTGCGATGATTTCTGTCATTTGCCCACTTTAATAAGATGCTGGAAAAGTTTTATATTTAATTTGGGCAAATGAGTCGTACTGATAATTTTCCTCTATTTGATGATTTTATCAGAACACAGGGATTTTTTTTCCCTTGTTTTTGAATGAATGAGACATGGACATCAAAAGAAAACAACTGCGAAAAGGTGGTTTGCTGCATAGCGATACCATCAACCCACTGTCTGATAGCAATCAGAAGACGATTATGCTACACACATTTCTTGTGTTTACTACACACGGGGAAGTGTTTTACCATGAAGAAAAATACAGTACTCTCGTTCACCACGTTCTGCAAAGAAAAATCTGTGTGTATGGGACGGCGTAGAGCTATGCAGCAGTCCCTGACGTGTCATTATCAGAAATGGTCTGCTGTTGTGGACCTCAGGTATTCATTTGAGCTGAGAGCTGGTGTCTGTTAACGTGGAAGTAAACCTTGGCTAGCATGGCAGGACAGCTTGTAGTACACAGTGTAGCTCATTTAGATCTAAATGCCTGCTAATCATACACGGTGCACATACACATTTATATATATACAAGTAATATTTATAACTGCACATATATATGTATATGCATATTCTCAGACACACGGATATTGAATTCTAGTATCTACTTCTCAAGTAATTCCCTTTGTATGACAAAAAAAAACCCACTGTACTGAATTTTGTTCAGTTATAATGGAATGATGCACAGATATTCTGGTTTGGGTTTACTCTGCAAGCACCATTATAAGAAGTTTCCATAAAAAAAACCTTGTACTTTCTTATATTATTTTTTAAAATTTTTCTGTTTACACTTTCCAGCTCATGTAGCATGTAATTATGACACAAAGTGAACAAACATAATAGCCTCATATCCTAGAATAACTATTATCTATGTTATATCAAAGCTATAGATTAGCTTTGCCAGAAAAGGGGCCAATGTAAAAAGGGTAGGGAAGGAGAACAAAAATATTTATCTATGTGTCTTTCCACTTAAATGTCTAAAGTTCTAGGAATTGTTTTAATTAGGACAGTTTTCTCAAGTTATATATAGTTTTTAAAGGGCTGTGTTAATTATTGGCATTACAGCAAAGCTCAAATTTGGAACAGTTTGTAATACAACATATTCTATATTCCAAGAGAAACACTTCAGGAAATTTATTTGACATGTTAATGTAGTAATATTGTTAGCAGAGAATATATTTAATAATCTAAGAGGCAGGATCTCAAGGCTGGGTTTGGTGTTGTGTTTTTTTAAAACGTGGAAATGAAATGGAAGAAAAACATGCTCTTCTGCTCACTTTTGCAGCAGTAACCATTTCTATCCTTTACCCTGGAATTGCACCATCTCAGAAGAGAATAAATAATTTACCCACAAAGCAGACATGCTCGAGCTGGCTCTGCCAATGCTCAGCCCAGGATGGAACTGTGGAGAAACTGGAGCAAAGCCTAATTGCATGGGAAGTGATGCATTGCATACGGGTGACACACTTGCTTCACCTCCACCAAACGAGGAATCCCCCTGCCCCTCACTGCGTTGTGCTGCATGCATATCCCCTTCTCTACGAGCAAGCAAGTTAAATATAAAGCAAAAGAGAGAGTACAATAGTTAGCTCGTGCCTTGTTAAAGGAAAACTTACAGATCATTGTAGACAAGGCCATAAATCTGTGCTGTGCTGTGATGATAGATTCCTCTCAGGATAATTAAAAGCAGGATCACAACAAAAGCTGGAAGCCCCCAACTCAAAAGGAAGTAAAGCAGATAGCGCCGCTCTGTGTGTTCATCATTCATCACCAGGACGTACCAGAAATTAACAGCCTGAAGAATAATGCAGAATATTAATCAGTAGACTTGGTGGATGCTTAGACATCCCAAAAAACAAATCACTCTGAAAGGCAAATTTCTGTCCCAGCATATGTGTATATATAAACATTTTCAAACATATTTTGGTCTCATTTTCTTCTTTTAAGTAATCAAAAGAGACTGATTATAAAAGAAGCGTGCTTATTTATATAACTGTTAGATTTAGAATTAGACTATCAGAGAGGAAGGGACATGTTGTTTAGTAGAAAACACTATTTTCGCAGTTCAAAAATGGCTTTGTGGTGCAGAAGTAGCTTTTTTCTTGGATTTCCATACCTTCATAGAAAAGACTGACATAATATTGCTAAATCTCATCACTACTTAATCTTTCTATATTATTATTCAGCTCTACGTATCTTCTTGCAGGAGATGCACTAACCTCTTTCAGCAGTTCTAACGTGGTCCAGTTCTGGGCTCACCAGTACAACAAAACATGGAGCAAGTCCAGCAAAGGGCCATGAAGATGATTAATAGACTGGAACATCTCCTCTATGAGGAGAGGCTGAGAGAGCTGGGGCTGTTTAGCCTGGAGAAGAGGATGCTCAGAGGGATTTGCGTATAAATAACTGATGGGAGGGTATGATGAAGAGGGAGCCAGAGCCACCTCAGTGGTGCCCAGCGGCAGGACAAGAGGCAACGGGCACAAATTAATATATGTGAAATTCTATCTGAACATAAGAAAAAAGCTTTTTTACTGTGGGGATGGTCAAACACTGGGCCAAGCTGTCCAGGGAGGTTGTGGAGTCTCTATCTTTAAAGGTCATCAAAACCTAACTGAACATGGTCCCGGGCAACCTGCCCTAGCTGACTCTGCTTGAGCCAGCGTGTGGGAGTAGGCAGTCTCAGGACAGCCCTGCAGTTTCAGTGGTTCTGTGATTCTGCGTAATATTTGTATAAGCATTTGAGAAGAAAATGCAAGTGAATATAAATACTTCCCTACAATAATTGGTGTCTTCTTATCATCAACTCATCATCAAACAGCATGACTAAGAATTTAAAATCATATATGGATCAAAATGAAGAAGTGGAATAGTTGAAATCTCTTGAAAGAACTGGTAGTATGAGTAAGGAAGCTCTTCAAGTATTACAAAACACTTAAGAGCTTTGCGTGGATCTTCGCATTGTAAGAAATTAATAGTAGAAACACTTTCCTATGTGCTGAGCATTTTTTGTATGCACATCTATACACGGTACTACTTTCTAATAAACATCTAAACTATCCATAATGAAAATGTTTTGCACAATATTCCTTCACTTCCTCCATTTCAAACCTATTATACCAGCACGTTGTATAATTATTTCTGGTCTTTTATATGGGTTGAATAAGGGATTAATTTTGCCTTTTTCTATCTAGAGGGCATCTAGTTCAAGCTTAGGCCTCTAGGCTGTCTTGACAGTCTCTACTGAGAGAGGACAGACATCTTCAGGCCCTCATTGACCCTTACCCAATCATACTCATCTCTCTCCATTATTTACACATGGATTTCACAAAATAATCTGGATTTATATGCTTAATTTGTGTCTGTCTATTGCTAAAATAGGTAAAATCCATATACAGCGAGAAGACAACTGCAAAATGATTATTTGTGTTTGTGAAGTTTGGCAGATCACCCTCAGCCAAGGGTTTGTCTACAAGTTTGTTCAGGCAGACTGAATTTTCACAATCAAAAACTTAATTAGTGGTTTGTGGATTCTTTATGTAAGTCTCATCAGTTAATTATCATTACAGGGTTTTTTTTCTGTGGTTTATATAGCATGAATATACAATACTTTCTATCCATGAATCATAAAGCATATTGCATATGCTAACAACTTGTTTTTTTAAAAAATATTAGTTTAATAAGCATTTTAAATGCTCCCTTAGAGAATGACACTTTATAAATAAGTCCAGTATATGTAATTATATTAATTATATAGTAATTATTACGACCTTTTTTTATTTTCATTTGGTGATTGGTGCTATGTGAACAAAGGCAAAGTCTGTTTTCCTCAAAAGAACTTAGAATCATACCATATAATTGTAACTGTCCTGTGTGGGTTGAAAGAACACAGAAAAACTAGTAATTCCATTGTTGGACATTCACAGGAAAAAACATTAAATGGATGAAAATGGTATTTGGAAAAAAACCCAAAACATTGCATTTTGTGGAAAGATTTGGTTGTTCTCTTATAATGTCCTCTTCCCTCTCAACTTTTACATGGGATTTAAAACACACTCAAGATTCTGTATGTCACCTCATGCCAATAAACATTCTTCAAATTCTGTGCCCTTGTAGTCCTGTCGGGGCTGTGCTTCACTGCGAGCACTTCCAGATAGCAAAATCCTTGAACTGATTTATGCCATTATGTGCCGGGATTGTTGGTTCTACTAATTCTGACAATCTGGTGAACATTGTTCTCAGTCATCCAACTGAGATTGCTTTCTAAGAAGCCATACCTCATGTCCTTGCTCTGTGTTTGTTCAGTCATCTTTACCTATTTCACCTCATTTATCACAGAAGAACACTTTTAACACCAGTGCTGCTGCAGAGATATAAGGGGGTTTGGGTAGTTCACCATTTCACGCGCAGTGACATTTCTATCTTGATAATTCTAAGTTCGTGTCTTCAACCGCTTTTGATGTTCCAAAAATTCAGTCAATGAAATACAAATAGTGGAGCTAATTTTAGCAAGTCCTTTCCGGTTGCCATGTTGCAGCAATCACCAGTTCTACAGAAGAATAAAATGTACAGTCCATTTCCCAGCTGCTGCTCAGGTGTAAGATCAAATGTACAAGTAGTGATTGTTCCGATGCAGAACGCAAAGCAATTACAAATTCACTCTAAAGACACAATGCGAACTTCAGTGAAGCGATTTTTCTTTTAGAATGAGGCAATTAATTGAAATTACCTTCCCAAAACCAGGGCACTTTCGTTTAATTTTTTGTTTATTCATACACTTATCTGCAGTGATAATCTGTGGATATCTGATAAATATTAGCTTCAAAAAATACTTAAAGTATTTCCCAGATCAGTGGGAAAACTCGTGTTTTCCTTCCTTCTTTTTAGGAATGGCCACAGCTTTCACTTCATATAATTCCTTTCTCAAAGCTGTTAAGCAGTCCATAAATCATTGTTAAAAATAATTATTAAACTTATTGTAAAATAAGCTCTTGTCTTGTAAGTCTGCAATAAATTTATAGAAAATGTAAGGTGCCATTAAATCCAGAAAGGAGGAGAATTAGGGTATGTGTGACAGCAAGCTCATGACATTCACTCTGGTTTGCTTATTGAACTGCCACTTTTGCTGTTGATTTACTCCACCACAGCAAAGGCTCAGAAAAGTACCGAGTTCACCTTTCCCCATCATTTTACTCTATGTCAGAATTGGCAGTTGAGAACTACACAATTTTAATTTTTTCCTCAAAAGACAACTTTTAACTTTTTTTTCTTAACTTTTTTTTTTTTTTTTTTAAAAGAAGATTTTTAATTTTCCTGATAAATAGTTGTCATACTAAAGATTTGTCATGGGAAGAATAACAGAATACAGGAAGGCATCCTTAGTGTGTGCTCCTAAGATAAAAGTGCAGACTGCATTTGAAATACAGGTTATGCTGTAAGAACGTATGTTTGTATGACGAGATGTCTGTCAGGATGAAGACTTCTGAATTTCAGACTAGTATAAAGCAGATATTTCAGGCTAAGCTCACTCTGTGGCCACAAACAGTACTTTGTACCTTGCTTACTCCTTTTCTTCTGCAGTCAAGAAAGCCTCATCCTTAAAAAACCCTGAGTAATGTTATCAACATTCAGCAATTCACAAAAATCTCATCATAAAAGCCAAGAAACAAGACAATGCAATACAAAGGGACAGGAACAATCAGACAAGCAAGGATGATTTGATGTGGCCTTTGTTCTGACTCTGAAAGTGGACCAGGACTCTGAGGTCTTTTCCATTCCTGCATTTCAGTCAGTATGTGGGTAGTAGCTATGTGCGTAGTACAAATACTGATATTGAGTGTAAGCCTACAAATACAAGAAACTAAAAGTGGAAAAAGAATTAGAAAATGAAGCTACAGATTTTGTTGTTGTAACCACTCTTAATATATGACAAAATGCTAATTACTATACCTAGCAATATGCAGAAGTTGGAAAGATTAGGACAAAAAGGTAAAGTTGTTCTAGAGTCTGGAAAGTCAAGATCTTTGATCTAGACTGCAGAATTGAATCTCTACACGTCCAAATGTACTGTTCAATCTGTTTTCCTATAGACTTTTGTCGCCTGGAAATGTTGTCACAGCACCTTTTGATCTCTTAAAACTGTCTGGATTTTCTGGATGTTTCAGTTCCACATATCTGCACGCTGCTTGCCCGTGATTATCACGTTCACCCACTTCTGTCTGCAGTGATGATGACTGACACTAGCAGGTTTGTGTAAAATGCATCAGTGATCAAGCATATGCACATAGGCTGTGCAGCCTCACAGAGGGCACAGTGACTGCGTGAGTGATACAGAATCTGTTCGCAGGATTTTGCCGTTTCCCAGACAGAAGTATTTAAGTCTCACGTAAGTACAAATACCATATTAATTCTGCCTTCCAAATCAAGTCATGTGTATTAAGTATACCATGCTGAGAAAGATGAAGATTAATTTCCCAGGCATTTAAATCTGCCGTTTAGATTTAGCAGTAGCATCTAGATGTCCCAAATCAGTCTGGTTTTCTCTTAGATCCACAAGCTTTGATAATATTGCCATGGGGACCAATTTAAGCAGAGACATGTCTCCAGGACTCCTTTAATACCCAGGCATTGTTTCCTCACTCTGCAGTGAGAAATACAAATTCAGGACCTATTCTCAATCAAGAGGAGTAAATTGTAGCCGAGTGCTTGCTTGACTGATGTTTCAGATTATTTCTTTCCTTTTGGTTTGGGTCTTTAAAACTTCAAGAATTATACACAGCTGAAGACCTGCACCTATAAAAAGGGGAAATCCCCTTCACTCTGAGTTTTACTCTGGGTGGCTCCTTTCAATTCATCACTCAGCAGGCTATAAAGGATGCCCTCTTAGGCTCCTCTGTCCCCTCATGTTTGCATGAAGAGCCTTCATGACTAACACAAGCCTGAGGCTCCACTAAATTGAATGGGACATGCAAGTTCTTAGGGACTGGTCAAACTCTGCTCCAGCAAAAATTAACAATGGATTTCAACTACAGCCATAAAAATAACCGTTAACGTTCATACAATTTTTTGTCATGATAAGCGATTCATCCATGGAAGAGCGAGCATTCAAAACAGGAATCCTTTTGTGACTTAATATAATGTAATACACATAGGATGGGAAAACACTATTAAACACCAAGCAGTCAAAGCATGAAATATCACAATAAAATGGCAACTTAAAAGTATTACTTTGTCTGTTCAAAATAATAAATGTTCAGGAGATTTGTAGTGACTTAGGAATGAAGTAAATCAGCAGCTGTGAAGAAGAATATAATTTACAGCTCACAAAATAATTTAGGTTAGTTAACCTAAGAGAAAATAATAAGGCAGGATAGGTGAAGGAGCATAGCAGAAAAATTTCTGTAATGAGACAGTAGAAAGTAACATCCACTGGAGAGAATATTTAATCTTTCTAACGGTACAAATTCAGGAAAAGCGTCAAGGATTAAAAGACTATTAGTATTGCTAGAGACAGAGCAGCTTAGATCTCTTGCTCCATTTTTATGAGCAGTTTCAGCAGCAGTGTACATGACAGACCATCTCCTTGTAGCTTGCTAAAACCAACGAGCACTGTGGAGCTGTAAGAGAGCCTGCCACGGTTCTCAATAAAAGTGAGCCTAACATAATCCCAGGAAAATGCCAGATCCTACATGAATGTCACTGGGAGAGAAAGCTGTATTTAGATATAGCCTAGTCTGCAATCCTTGGTTTGGTCTAATAACCTGCATATTGGAGGATTTGCACGGTAATGTATGGACTGCATATATAAAGCTGTATGCCATAATAAATGTGCTATGGACAAATCCTATTAAAATTACAGACAAATAAATGGCATAATTCACGCATCAGTGCTAAATGTACATTCCTAGACAAGGGCACGATAACGTATTTTTCAAATAACCTCGCAGCTTGTTATTTTGACTGACTTACAACTGGTAATTTTCCATAGCAGATTTGATTGTTCATGGTCTCCCACATTAGTTCAATTGTTTTTTACACCGTTTCCTGTTCTATAATATGTCAAAAAAGCTGGTGAAGTGTGGGTGCGTATGCCAGGTCGTGAACCGTCTGCGTCACTGACAATGTGAAAGTGTCATCAGCATTCAAATTAGAAGATTAATGATGTCTAAATTAATGATGCACTTGTGTTAGAAGATTAACGGTGTCTAGATTAACGACGGCTAAAATCAAGAGAATTCGTGCTCATTAGGGAAGAAACAGATAAGAAGGGAATCTGTAGAATAACAAAGCAGAAATTTATCGACCGGTTGTGCACACATAGTAGTGCTGTTGAAAGTGCTGAGAGGAACGAGTTCTTGAAATGAGCGTGCGCCAGAGCAACACACGGATTTGCTGTCACAAGAATAGATAAGGATTTGTTTTTCTAATAAATGTTGGAGCTTGACTGTTAACCATATTGGTGTGTGTCTTGTCTCACAGCCTCGTCCTGTAAATAAGGGGGTTCCTGCTACAGTGAAGGTTCTAGAGCACAAGTCTTATGAGGAGCAGCTGAGGGAACTGGGGGGGTTTAGCCTGGAGAAGAGGAGGGTGAGGGGAGACCTCATCGCTCTCTCCAGCTCCCTGAAAGGAGGGTGCAGAGAGGGGGGATGAGTCTCTTGAACCAAGGAACAAGGGATAGGACAAGAGGGAATGGCCTCAAATTGCGCCAGGAAAGGTTTAAACTGGATATTAGGAAAAACGTCTTCACCAAAAGGGTTGTCAAGCACTGAAACAGGCTGCCCAGGGGAGTGGTGGAGTCACCAGCCCTGGAGGTATTTAAAAGACGTGTAGACGTGGCGCTTAGGGACAAGTGGTGGGCTTGGCAGTGTGAGGTTACGGGTTGGACTGGATGATCTTAAAGGTCTTTTCCAACCTAAATGATTCTTTGATTCTGTAAAAATTCTGGCAATATTTATGAATGTATACACTCCGTATTTTAATGCAAACTTATGAAGGTGTGTTTATCATATTATACAAGTCTGTTGACTTCATTCTAATGACTTTTAGTCATGCTTCCGAGTCCCAAAAATTACAGTGTAGTTTACACTTAATTTCACTTGTAAGAGATTGTATCAAGACACCAAATAAAAGATGCTTAGAAAAGCTATTAACTGTAATAAAAATAGTTCTTCAGTGTTTTGAGACAGTAACTTCTACAGGATGAAGTGAGATGTGGAAATTCTTCCACCAATGTAATAGATATTCGTGGAAAAAGTCTTTACAGGGTTTGAATATTTACCCATGGAGCTGTGACACTCTAGGTTTAATAAAGACCATCTCATGTTTTCCCTCTCTAATAGCATTGGATTGCAGATATAACGATATAATAGAAACACAGTCAGTATCAATTATTTTTACAGAGATTTTGGGGAAGGGGTGAAAAAGACTAAGAAACTGACCTGAATGAGCATCCAGCTGAACTGGCAGAGGTAAAGGTAATGGGTAACAGATGCAAGGGCAGAGCAGCTTTCCTCTGAGAGATGTTGGCTCATGTAAGCAGAGGCCAGAAATGAAATCTGCAGGGAAAAAATGAATGCATGCATATTGGAATTAAACAAAATTAATTTAATAATAATAGTAATGAGAAAAAAAATAAATTCTTCCATTTGGAAGTATAAAATATGCGCTCAGTTACCGTTCCAGACTCAGCAGACATATGTTGGATATTTAATATTTACCCAAAAGAAGTGGCCCTTTAACACAGTCAGCCACAGAAATAGCTTTAAACATTTTGCAGACAATCTAGTGTCCATTACATCCGTGTCTGAAAAGACGATAGAGAGACTTAATGTTGTTTAATAGTGTTCTCCAGACTGATTGCCATGCAACATTAGACATCAGTTTTGTAACTGGGGGTGGAGATTTTCCTCCGTAAAATAGAGACATTATCTTCTGATTTCAGTTAGGCCAGAAATTTTATCAAGTATACAAACTCAAGGGGCATTTACTGTCTTCAGACTGTCAGACAAGCAGCAATATTCTACACATAAGATAACAACACTGCACAAAAGGGAATGAGCACTTCTGTTGCCTAAGAGCAGACCCGGATTTCACAGTCACAAGGCAGACGTAAGTTTTTTTCCACAAACATGACAAAGGTGAGAGGACTATACGTTGGCTGGATAAGGAGCCAACGCATTGTCTAAGGAACAAAGGTGTTCCAACTCTGACTGCAATGAATGCTGCTAAACAATTGCATTTAAAACTCAAACTCTTAGCTCTGTGAATTTCTTTACTGATGAAATAGTTCTACGACCAGACTTCATTAAAGAATTGAAGTGTTCACATAAAGAAAGGCTCGATTTACCTACAGAACACCTGCAGTAACCTATGATTTTTCCTCTCCTTCACAAGGAATACTACTATTTTGACCAACAGCCCACTGACTTGTTAGTAATAGCAATTCATGGACTGTGCAGACTGATTTTACGTATATAAAATCGGGAGATGGGGTGGGAAAGGAAGTTAAAGTATTCCAAGTGATTTGGCATGCACCTGGACATTTTTTTTTAGGACAAAAATACACGCGTGGTATTGGACAACTCTTAATATAAAAATATCCTTATAAAGGCAGAGTCTGTATACTGACAGACAACATTATCTCATCACGAAATGGAAGAATAAGAACGAGCAACTGGACAACTGGACTAAAAGCAATTATGAGATGTATTTCATTATCCAAAGGAAAAAGTGTACTTTTAGTATTTTATGTGAGGTTTATCAGTCTTCCACTGGGAACTGGAATCTAACCATTGCCACTCAGCTACCCAGTTATTAACAGGTTAACACACAACCTAATATAGACTGCTATTTGCCAAATTCTGACACTGCTAAAACAAATGCATTGTCTGGAGTGGGTTAAACACAATTGAACGTGTGCAATAGCTGCCTTCCATTAGGGATAAACGCAAGAATTGTTTGTGTAAACAACTCTGTAGCACCAGCTAGCTCAAACAGTACCAGCAGTGCTTCTGAAACCTGAGCAAATGTTTCTACTTACAACAAGCAAAATACAACACACATCTGGGTGGAGAGGCTTTACCACCTTTTGTTCTCTGAAGGCTTGTGTGTATGTCAAGGACGGAGACAAAGAAGGGATGAAAACACAAAAGCAGACTGATCCAGTCTTGGAAACATGTTTTTAGCACCTTCTGGACTGAATGTTGGCTTGAAAGCGTTTTGCATCTGTGAACAAAGAAGCTATAATTTCTAGCCTTTTCCTCTGTTTCAATAAAAGTAATTTTTTGTACATTAAAAAGGAGAAGTATCTCACTATGTCAACAGGTTTCCAACCAAAACAATGCGAAGAGTCCAAATATTCGCTAAAAATGCATGCATACCCTTCATGGATACTGCCTTTTGTTGAAGTAAAACAGCAATATGGCTAAAGTAATCACTCAGCTAAGAATTCACAGTGTTCTGGGGGAAAAAAAAAAAAGGCTAAAGAGGTAAAAGAGGCAAAGCAACATTTATACATTACTTTCATATAATTGTTGCATCTTGAGCAGAAGATACATTAAGAATTGATTTATAACACAAAAACCAAATGGCAGACCACATTTTGAAGTGTTGGGAGAAGAGACTGTAGTTTAGCCACGCTGTTCTGACCAACGCTGGCTACGTTGGCACTTAGAGCTCAAAATGCAATGCACCACCATTTAGCAGAAATAGACATGGAGCACAGGCCACTGAATAGATCTCTCCTCCGTAACATCTGCGGAGGACAGGGAAACAGAAAAAAAGCACTTTTCAGATAAATTGGTTTTTAGACCTAACTGCCTCATGTACTTTTCTTAGTTTTCAACTGTAGTGGGCAATCTCGTAAGAGCAAACCTATTACTTTAATAAGGAAAACATGTACCATATATTGGAACAAGCTGTTCCCTCTTGGAACATTAAAAATTATATACTGGATGAGTTCCTTCTGATACCAATTGTTCAGAGCTCTTTTTATAGAGACCGTATTAAATACTCCTTTTCAAACAATCTTTGTAACCTGCCATTTGGTTCTACACGGAGATTATAACATAAAGATTCTTCCTGGTACTTGTCAAGGTGATCAGTCTTGACCCAAAAGGATTAAACTAAGGGATAACAAGTGACTCAAATAGCAGGCTGCTGGTTTTGCTAATATGTGCATGATAGTTCCGTGCCACATTCAAAATGACAATGATAGCTTATCACTCACAAGGTTCCTCTTGGCAAAATGAAAAAAAAAAAGTTAAAAAATAAAAGATGATAAATTGATGCACTTCTGTTAAAGAGCAAAAAGATTGTTGGCAAGGTTCCCATCTGACAGTCATTTACTCAGTTAATTAATCAAAGGGTACTGCAATTCCTTTGTAACTTTAAGACAATTACCTAGCAATTACTTGAAGGAAATGAGCACCTGGGTATTGAACCTAAGTCATCAACACCAAACTATAAATTAATAAAACAAGATGATATACAAAACTGTGCATTCCTGTATGAGGAAGAGTAGTTTTGCACTGCTGTTTTCAAGCAGTAGGCTATCTCAGAACATTGTAGAATCATACAACCACAGACTGGTTTAGGTTGGAAGGAACCTTAAAGATCGTCTAGTTCCAACCTCCCCCCTGCCCTGGGCAGGGCCACCTCCCACCAGCCCAGGTTGCCCAAAGCCCCGTCCAACCTGGCCTTGGACCCTTCCAGGGAGGGGGCAGCCACAGCTTCTCTGGGCAACCTGTGCCAGGGCCTCACCACCCGCACAGGGAAGAATTTCTTCCTTCCATCTCATCTAAATCTCCCCTCTGTCAGGTTAAAGCCATTACCCCTCATCCTACCCCCACACCCCCTGATGACGAGTCCCCCCGCCTTTCCCGCAGCCCCTTTCAGCCCTGGAGGCCGCTCTAAGGTCTCCCCGGAGCCTTCTCTCCTCCAGCTGAACCCCCCAACTCTCCCAGCCTGTCCTCACAGGGGTGCTCCAGCCCCCCCCAGCATCTCCGTGGCCTCCTCTGGCCCCGCTCCAGCAAGTCTGTCTCCTTCTGGTGTCTGGGACCCCAGAGCGAGTTAAAAGCTGCCTCTTAGTTTCCAGCCTGCACTTATTCATGGTCAATTTATATCTGTTTTTAATTCTGTTGGAAGCCTCTTGGGATAAACAGGATTTCCTCCTCCTTGGGGTCTGCACTGTCATGAATTCACGGAAAGCAGTAGTATTCTTCCCCAGGCTTCATTTTTCAAGGTTAAATAAGCCGATCACTGCACAGCGCAATACTCTGTGGAGATGCCAGAGTTGGGCTGGACAGCAAAAGCAGTTTAGCTCCGTGAACAGAGCATCTGTCTAAATCAATTCATCTAGTTTCTCCAAGTAATCCTATCTACTGCATTGTGAAATGTATACTCACGCATGTGAAAGCCTGTCCTTGCACAAAAGTCTTTGCAGTTTGCACACTGATTTCATCATTTTTTTTATACTGGTGCCACTTTGATTCTGTCCTTCACGAAAACATGTACTCAGGATGGAGAAGAGCTGCAGAGGTCTCACAAGATTCTCACTCAACAGTTCTCTTATCTCCCTGTACACCGTGTAAATACTTCTTCTGTCATATGCGATCATCTGGTACGCAGATTTTTTTCTCTCATTTCCAACTGACCACCTCTGACCACGGAGTTAAAATTTTGCTGGTAGTCTAGACGTTATGCCTTTTCACCTTGTTCTAGGAAATATCCCCGCATTTCACACTTCAGTCTTCAAAACCTATTCACATCCCTCTATGCCCTACCCCACAACCCCTAATTAGTGTCAGTGCTTCTCTACTTTCTGCCGTCAGTGCATTTTGCCCAGGCACATTATTTTCTGTTCCACAAACTAGTCCTTTAGGACCAGTGAAATAACCACTCTCTCGTAGCTGTCTTTTCCCATTCGTCTGCCTCTTCCCACATATGAGTTCTTGAACTAATCCTCCTCCATTATTATTTTACAAATTATGTGACATATCAAGTATTTTACCGCATTTATCTCATCAAAGAAAACTATGAGACTAGTCTGGCACGATCTAAGTATAAACACAGAATTCTTATTCTCCGCTTCATTTATCACTATGTCTTTTGACGGATTTTTTTTCCAAACTCTTACATGCTTCTGAGACTGAATTAATGGGCCTGCAGTTGCCAAGATTTTTTTTTTTTTTTTACTATACATTACTTTTAATATATTATTTTCCAGTCACATAGTGGCACTCTGAAGTGAAGGATTTGTTAAAAGCACTTGTTGTGAGACCTGCAGGGTATCATATCAGCATTTTCAAAGTTAGGAATGGGGACCTTTTTGTTCCAACCTATCAATGCACCCATCCTTTGGGTCCTCCTTCTGCCTCAGTAGCCATAAGTTTCACTCCATGCTAATAACTCTATTCACCATCTTGTCTTTATCCCAGTGGTGATCTTTAACATCACTATCTTCTCTGAAAATGTGAAGATGTTAATGTTTGTTTGGAGTCACAATGTATTTACTTCTCTTGCCTCACTGCAAATTTTTACATTAGTCTCTCTTCAC